GACGACTGTCCTTCGTTTCGAGGGTGATTTTATCACCGTGATCCTCGACGGGGTTCCTTAAAGGGCTCGTGGGACCGGAAGACGCGTGACCCTCGGGCTCTCCCGATACCTCGTCGATATATCGATTTCGAGGGGACCGACGACTTAACCGAAGGGATGATTAAGTGGCCCGGGCGAGTAATTAACATGCACCGTCGCCTCTATCGGCCTCGTTGCGCCGGACCGTATGTGTGGCTCAGTTCTGGCCATCAGACACCCCTTGACTTACTCGTTAATTCATCCCCCTGTGTCAAGTGACGCGTAAGTGTTAAGGAATTTTTAGACGCTCCAAAAATTGTTTATTAATATTTTTGTAGAAAATACCATACCTAGGGTTGGAGACATCCTAGAGCCCGAGTTAAGGCGAGGTTGGAGGATTAGGTAATGGTGGTACGTGTCGAAGGGCTGTTGAGGGAAAGAGGGAAAGAGGAGCCGAAGCTGGCAGCTATTGCAGCCCCGCTTTCGTCAACCCTTCCGGCTTCCTTCCTAGGACAAATCTCTATAACTGCGATCCCTCTCTTGTCTTCGTCTAACTTCTGGACGTAATTAATTTCCCGAGCTAACGTGGAATGCCATAATTAATTCTTGGTGGCTGCCAACCGCCCTCCCGCCCCACCCCCGGCGTCGATGCTCGAAGGGCCGCACGCGCGGAAGGGCCGACTAACAATATGTATTAGCGCCGATTAGTAGCTTCCCCCCTCGGTTATGCAATTAATTAAATTCGGCTTAAGACACGCCGACATTGTCAATTACCGAGGGGGGCGAGCCGAAAGTTAATGACGCGAGCTGTCGCGCTATCGCCACGCCGATGTATGGCGTTCCATTAAGGGATTCCGGGAAATTTAAGTAATGCTAAATTACCGATTAACGGTATTCGGATGGTCGATTGCGTGAAATATCCTCGACGAACTAATTAAACGTCTATTCTTATTGCGCAGGGAGAAGAAATCCGCAACGCCAGATATGTATCTCTTTATTAACCCTTTGCACTCTAGGACTTTGCCATTCCATACTTTGGCTCATGTTTACACCATTCATGTTTACACACAGCGTCACCTATATCTGGGTGATGTGGCGACGAACGCGTTAATGATGTAATAAAAAATGAAGAAAACCTTGGATCAGGGAAAGAGGCTCTCCTCGGGGCGTGGTACCGGCTGCGATACCGAGGCACCATCTCATGGGCGACTTTTTTCCTTGGCGAGAAAAAGTCCCGGAGCTCGGTTACTTAGTTACAATAGTTGGTGTCCCGCGTCGTTCGTCCCGTGCTCTCTCTCCTGGATCCTCGCCTGGCCGCTGCGCGTCTCATACTGGCCCTCGGTGCGGCCGCTCGGCCTTCTTCGTGTGCGCGCTCGGTCGCGCGCGCCCTCTCTCGGTCTCATTACGTCCGAAATAAATAAGCCTCTCCTCCGCCACCTCCGATGTCCCCTCCGAGTATCTTCCTCGTCCCCGATGCCCTCCCCCGCCGCCCCGACCGACACCCTGGTCGGTATATCAGGGCCCCTCATTAGCCGGCGGACATTCATTAAACCGCGCGCGCTCCTACAAAAACAAAATGTCCGACAAAGGAGCAGAACTCCGGTGTGCTCCGTGCTCTTCTACATCCTCGCCTGTATGACCGTTGCGGTCATTTGAAATTTTCTAAACGACTTACGCGTGTTTTTAGGTTTTCGGGCCTCTTGTCCGTAATTCTGGTCGGATATCTCGTCGTTGTCCGTCGCGACGCCTTGGAAGGGATAGCTGGTTACACCTCGCCGTTTAACGGACGCGCCACGTGTCGAGCGGTATATCGCGTAGGGGCGCCGGGGCCGTTCGATAAATAGGCGGCTGGTACACAGGCGGGTCCAACGGAAACCCGTGTTAATTAACGCTGAGTTTCAGGACTGATTTACGTGGCGTCTAATTAGCGGGTCTGACGGCGACGTAGTAGGCATTTTGATTGGGCCAAGCGGGCCGCGAATAGAACGCGACGCCGCGATCGGCCTCGCTTTCCGGTTCCAAGGGAATCCGAGGCGGTCCTTTTCTCCGCCGTCGTTTCTCAAGGCCGATCTCGGGGTTGTCCGTCTCGCTCTTCCCCACTCTGCGTCGCCACTCCATGTCCGCCAATCGAGGGAAACGAGGCCTCAGGAGTTCCCGGAATCCGCGCCGGTCGTCGTAACCGCTGAAACGAGAGGGCGCGCCAAATTCAAATTCAAATTCTAACGATCTCGCGCTCGATCGCGCCGTTTCTACCGTCACGTGATATAACCTCTCGGCAGGAGATCGCAGGAAATCTGAATTTCGATACATGGCGTTGTATCTTCTTATGCTTCGCGTAACCGACCATCCGATTAACGAGTCCGAAATCCCGACCGTTAGAAGCTTCGCCCGCTCCAGCGCCATCTATGACCTGTCCGCCGTACCGCGCTCGCGGCGCCCTCTGTCGTCCGTTCCTGAGCTCCTTCTCGACCCCCCGCCCCTCCCCGCCGCCGCTCGCCGACAGCCTGTTGCATCCCGCGACCTCCGCACCGCAGACGATGCGGGACGGCGCGGGAGGCGAGACGCGTTCCCGACAGGGCTCCCTTCGGAAACAAAATCGGGTAAGTAGCTTCGCAAACGGTTGGTCACGTTTCATTTCGCGCCTTTCTTCCAGCCGGGGTTATCGGACAAGCTGGTTACTTCAGTTTTAAGATAAGTACGGTTTCAAGAGGAGGGCCTCGACGCGGCCTGACACGAGATACAGGAAGGAAGAAATTCCAAGGTGGAAGCGTAGGGTATCATTTTTTTGACGTAAAGCGTTAGGAACTAGGCTAATAAGTAGGGGGACGCCTCGCAATTTCGGGGATCGTAAACCGTCCTCGGGACTTCCTAACGATATACGACACCCGCGGCGCTTGTATTAAGCTTCAGGTGGTGCCAAAATACACCGCGGCGCTATTTCCGAGCTACACGATATATCATTCGCGTTGCCCCAAACAAGGCGGTCAACAAAGCGGATTACACGCCCGCGAAACGCCGAGTGCAAGGCGTAACAACGCGTACTCACCTAATTATACGCCCGAAGATGACTAAACACCCCATAAATTAATCCAAAAGTATCCCGTCTTCCGGAGGCGAGAATCGAGCCAAAACCTAATTATTCCGGGCCTTGGGCACGTGTAAACCGTCGTATCTCGGGACAGCCGGCAGATGTCAAAATTGACTTTTGGCTTCGGAGCTTCCGAGTAATAAAAAATATCGAAATAAATGGGGTACAAGTTGAAACGACACAAGGAAGCCCCAGTCCCACCCTGGGTCGCACCCTTCGCCCTGGAATACTTCGGGGAAGATTTTTCGGAGCCCTCGCCGTCGGCCGTTACGAGAAATTCGTTAATCTCCCGTAGGAGCGGTGCTAATTGTCAGGCGTATAAATCGGCGGGCGGCGTTAACGTCCCGCGAGACTTGGCACCGATATTCCCCCCGAAATCTCCCCTCTTATTCCGATTGGCGACGAGATCTCGCGATCTCGCCCCGTTAATTGGGCCCCGTATAGCAACGGATCCCGGGACTCTTTTATGGGCCCTACCGGCGTAATTCCCGATTTTTACGACCGACCGAATAACCGTCGTTCCACCTCTCCCGACGTCTCCCTTTTATCCCCCCTCCCGCCCCTCTAGCCAAGGGGGAGTTTCACGCCAAACCTCAATCTCGACGTCCACCGCTTCGTATGCTAACGCGTTATGCTCGTATTTATAGTCCCTCGGAATAGTCGGGCCTTTGGCTCGATTCGCTGGGAATTCACCTGATTAAGGGGACGGGGTGGTCCTCTCGGTTTATTTCTAGGTTCCCTCCCTCATTCTCGGGGCTTAATTAACCGAGTGTTTCCCTCTTACGAGGCGCGTAAGTCACCCTCTCGTGACAACTGACGCGTTAGAAGCTCCGCGACGTAACTCCCGATCCGTCCCGGTTGGTCGCCCGACTGGATGGAACCGGGGTGGACACGCCGCTTCTCGAGGAAAAAAAAAAAAATGCTCGTACGTCTTTCCCTGTAACCGATATAACCCCGGTTGAGCCCAACGATGCGTTACCCTTCGTCCTGACTACCTTAACCTTGAGTGCACCCTGCAGAATTCAGGGGACGGACGTTTGAGCTCGCTGCACCGTGCACGCTTTCTTTGCGTCTTCTTTAAGGCGATGCCTCCTCGCAGCGGGTGTTTAAAATTCATTTTGGCCAGGCCGCCCTCTTAAATGCATTCTCGGATCCAATTACCGGAGAATAGAGGGCGCGCCCGATTTTTCTCCTTTTTTTTCCCCGGGAATAAGATTTCAGTACCTTTTTCTCGCCGACTTCCAGGAACGTTCGGAGACCTAATGACGTCCCCAGGGTGCGAGTCGTGCATGTCGAATCGCGCTGACGTCGACTCGCGATTCGCTCCCGGGGCCCGCAATGAGCCTGGAGAACCGCGACTTTGTGCCCCGCACGCGTGCAGCACGCAAACCGCACGGGAACCGCACGGATACCGCGCGCTCGAATTCGCGGATTCGCAAGAAATTCACCGTCGGCAATTATTACCGCGCGGGAGCCCTCCACGTACACGTGGATGTGTGCGATCTTGTACATAAGTGATTTTTCCTGGCCGCGGTATTTCCGCAGCGGCTCCGCAAGGAGGTCCCTTTATTACCTCCGTTTCAGGATTTTGCATACAAAGAGGGAGCAGGACTTTACTAGCTTTTTAGTGCCTCCACTCCTCCGCGGTTTTAGATTTCCCAAAGCGGGACCTCTCGAACCGAGGGATTTAATTCCGGGGAATTTATTAAATCCCGCGATACGGAATCCCGAGTAATTGGACCCGTGTGTTCGTTAAATTTAATAATCGAACGCTGCCGATTCCGGGGGTAAATTCGTTTCGGGGTAAGGTTTTAGGATGAAACCACCTGAAATTTGAACATTCGAGGTCCGGGGACTTTCGGTATGGGATTCGGCGACAAACAACACACGGCAAGAGGTTTTCTAAAAACTTGTATTTTTCTTCCTTTTATTAATTAATAAACGTGTGAGTGACTTGTATACGTGTATCCGTGTGCGCGGTCGCACTCTCTCTCTTAACCTCTCTCCGCGTGTCGCGATCAGTGTGGAGCTGTGTGTTGTGTGTGGGTGTGGTATACGTGTGGCAGTATATTACAAGATCCCGGGGAGGGACTTCGAGTTCTCGCCCCTCCCCGGTAATTAGAGATTGAGAGAAATCAATTAACAAAATTAACTAAACGCGAAAGACCGCCGTCCGACTCGACACGAAGCGCCCTTAATCCTCCCCTGTTCCTGCGTCAGGATGATGTCCAGACAGAAGCGCAAAAGGATGTCCTTTTCCGGGCACTTCCATTATTTCCAAAGTGTCGCATGACTATTTGCATGACGAGCCGAGCTCACTTTGCACAAGGCGAGCCGGTTGACTTGTTACGCGAGCTACGCGCAAGAAAAAGGGAGCAAGAAAGAGGATAAGGACGAGATTCGTGATCTCTCGGGTGATAAGTCAACCGGCATGGCGTCGCGGAGAAACCGGACGAGCGGCGGTCCGGCGCATTTTGGCCGTCTTTTATCTCGGAATAAGAAGTCCCAACAATGGTTTTCGGAGATGTCATTTTACCCAGTCCCGGGTAACGCAGGAAAGGGGATTTCTCATCGTGAGGGCGTCTCGTGTTCTCAGCCGCAGCCTCGCCCCATCGCGCACGCGTCGTCCAGCGTTTAATAGCGAATAACCACTTATATCACACAAATTTTAACAATATACAAAATGTACCCTATGTACAAGGTTTAAATTACACTCCCTCACGCGCTACCGGACGCGTGGCGTCCTCTCGGCGGCAGGAAGTCCCCGCTCTTGCAAAACTTCCGGTGGCCATCCTTGCCGCCGAAGAGGACGCGCGTCCCGTCAATGGCGCTCGCAATCCTCTCGCTTTCGGTAATGCAAAGAGTGGTTCAAACGAAGGTCCTCTATGAACGGAACGAGTAAACGAATAACGGTCATTTCCTCCCTTTCCAGGTATTTTGTCCCTTATGATACAGCATACATCCAAGATTCTTTTATTGAGCTTCGAACGACCGCCGCGGGGCGTCGAGGGACGTTCGCCCGATCGCAGCGCCGCCACGCGAGGACGCCAACAACTGCGAACAAAGGTAGCCCCCGTCTCGGCGAAAGAGTTCCCCCTAACCGGTATATTCAATGTCCGAACGTGGCGTTGAAATAAATCGTAGAAATTCCCCTTCCCAGAACAAACGGAAGGTCTCTTCGAGTTAATCAAAATCAATCGACTTTTCTCTGATACACGAGGACAGGTGAATTTCTCGTCGGCCGAATCGAGGGCTACCTTCACAGGCGAGGGGGCTTCTCGATGCCCCGGGGGTCGGGTAGAGAGGATGATATTATCGTGATGTACTTTGTTCTTTAAAGATTATACATTTATAATACACTTATTGCGGATGCTCGAAACCCTGTCACTCATATTAAGTGTCCTCGACCTCGCGTACCGAATGGACGCGAAATTCGGACCAAGGACCGACGCGGTCGTCCTCGCAGTCAGCATTTTCAGTTTCCTGTGGGTCAAGGATCGATCTTACGAGATCAATTGTCATGATTATGTCGCCTATGTCCGAGGTTGTTCGGATTCGCTTTATTTGAGTCATGGATCGGTGTGGTTTGCGGAGCCACCCCCGGCGGTTCTTCGGTCGGGTCCTCTCCACCGATTCCTCTTTCCTGTGTCCCGTCCTCAGGAAACCTCTTTACGTCGGGTCCTCTCTCGGGAGGCCTACCTCGCTACCCCTAGTAACTTATTACCACTCCTTATTGCTTTTAGGGTAGAATTTAGCCGCCGTCTTTCGCCTTTGTCACCCCTCCCTCTCTCGTCCACCTTTGGAAAAGAGGACCTCCGAGGTAAAAAGGAGAGGGAGGGATTCGGGCCCGTAGTCGCGCATACACAAGAGGTGAGAAACGAAGGGAACATCCCGTTAATCCTCGGGGAAATGAAGGGCTGCGATTTCATTTCGCCCCAAAGGGCCGAGAGGGGATGAAGCGCGCTTCCCGAGCTTCGTTCAACTCCTCGGAGCAGCTTCCTTAAGGGAGTCTGAATAAAAAAACGTTAGAAAGGTGGAGGAAGAGTAGAAGAAAGTAGGAAGTGGACTACGTTAAAGTGTCACGTGGGCAGAGTGGGGGTAGCGGGGGGCGTGGCCTCGTGGCTGGCGCTCGGAGTGGGGGGTACCATTAGCGCCTACACGGCGCGGAGACAAGGGACGCCTAATGAACTTAGACGCTGTACAAGGAGCCCTGTGACGCAAAGGCCTGATAATTTTGAAAGAAAAATAATTTTCTATGAGTCGATCTTACCCCTGGCCAATCGGTACGTCCAGCGGCGCGGATTTTAATCCCCTGAATGGGGAGGACGAATTAATCGACTCGAACCCTTCTTAAATGTTAATTCGCCAAACAAGTAACTCCGTTAGGAAAGCAATTCCTAAGAGAGAATTTCCCTTTTCACTCTAGACCGTACAATCCCGGCACTTTTGTCATGTGAATCGCTCGTTAGGGAAACGGCCTCGTTTAGGGAATTCGGGGGTCGGAAAGGGTTAACGCGCCTCTTGTTATGCTTATTTGCTTTTTTTGCGGGAAAATGATCGACCACCTCCGGATCATTGGCATGTTAATCTCGACTCCTTGCCTTCCTATTTCGGCCTCTACGTAGACTATTCTCAAAGTTCTCGCAGCAATTTCGTTATTCATAAGGCGGTCAAGACCACGAGGCCCCGACACCTGCCCAGCAATTTGGAATGGTAATCGGAGCACCCCAATTTCGTGTCTCCGCACCTGGTCGCCCGAGGCCACGGCTTGGACAAGGCGCGTCCACTTATAAGAAATTCCGGGAAAAAGAATCGAACGAGCCGGTGATTTGCTTCCCGTTCTTCGAGGCTTTAATCACCTCTCGACGATCGACAAGGGAAGTTTCCACATTTTTCGATGCCATACCCCAATTTTATTTACTCGATTTAATTGCATCGCCGATCTCGGAGTGGTGGAAAAAAAGGGAGACGGATATGTAAAGGAAGAGGATTTAGGAGAGTCCCCTCGTTTCTCCTGCATTGAGCAATGATTTATTGGTGATCGCGCGTCGTCATTCGTTGCGATTGAGCCGATCCAAAAGAATTATAGCTGCAGTTTGCAGGGCCCAACTGCAGCGTTCGTCGGCTCGGTACCACGAGGCAAATGAATCATAAGGCGAGGCATTAAAGAAACTCAAAGTAGTTCTCCAATTTGAGATTAGGATAGCGCACGACATAGCTCCGGTGTATCGGAGTAGTCAGGTATTTCTGATCGGGCCGCAACTTTTCGAATTATGTCGTGTACCGGCTACTTTGAGAGTAGCTACAATCGGAATCAGCTCGTACTTGGAATGTGTTCAAGGATCTCGAAAGTTTAGGGGTTCGGTCTCAAAGAAAGGCAAAGCCATCCATTCGGAACTTCCCCGTCGAGGTCCCGCGGCAAGCCCAGCAATTTTATCGAACAGTCTCTCCAGCTCCGGTAAGAAAAACCCATCGTCACCGCGGGTCCTCGAAATCGGTTCCAAATAGCGATTCCACCGTCCCTTGTCAGAGCCGGAACCTCAAACCCACGGTACCAAGCCGAAGAACCATCACCGAACGGACAAGATTAATTATTGCCTATAGTACACCCCTTCCGTGTTTCCAATCCCAACCCGGGATTGGGAATCTCGATCCAAACCCCGGTCTTCGGACTCGAGGGCCTTCCTCGAGGGGTCCCTCCCCAGCTCCTTCCATCCCAAATCTCCCATCTCCCTTCCGCTGGCCGAACCGTTAAACGCGTCAGGAAATCCGAAAACCGCCGAAGCAACGGCAAGAGACCCAGAGTCCCAAAGTCCGACCCGTCCAGAGGAGTTCACGTCCTGGACCCGGTGCACCCCCGTCTCACCGGACATCACCCTGTCCCGGGTCCCAAGTCTAGAGGACAGAAGAGGTCCCTACCCTCACCACGATATCTCGCGCCTATCCGATTCCCCCAGCACACAGGGCCCGGACCTAGGGTCGCCAGAAGCTCTCAGTCGCAGGGATCCCCCCAGGATGTCCACTCCTGGTAGGACGGGTGATGGTGGTGGTGGGAATGGCCCGGCAGGCCCGAATGTACCACCCCCATCGTCTGGTGATGGTGGTGGTGGTGGTGGTGATAGTGCTGATGACCCGGCGGAGGCGGCGAATAGGGCTCCCCTCCGACGCCGACGTCCACGACGTCGACCTGCGTCGGCAGGCTCGGCGTAGCGACGACGGCCGTCGGTTGCGGCGAGGGCTGAACCTTCTTCGGGCGACCGACCGGGTTGCCGCCTCATTCGCGACTCCTTCTGGGTCGACCCACCTTGCCCTTCCGGACGGGGGCGCCGCCGTTGCCCGCCGCTGCTGCCGCCGTGACGCTCGACGACTTCACGATTTTGTGCCAGTCCGTCTCGCACACCGGGGCGCCCGACAGCAAGCAGTACCTGGACACACATTAAAAGTCCAGGTTAGTCTCCGGATCCCCAAGTTTCGGGACGAACGAACGTCCGTCGACATTTTCACCCAAGACGTTTTCGATTCGATTTCTCCTAGAGATTGCGACAGCGAGGAGAAATCATCGTTTCCTATCCGTGATTATTTTTTATCGAGAGAAAGAAGGGGCAGGGTACACTTCCGAGCTGGTGTGGCCCACTTGCCGCACCGCCGGTCATTTTTACCGACAAGCCGCGGCCTTTGACGGCATATTTACCGGGGATCGGGGAGATAGCTTTTGACCGGGGTGATCGATCGATCGATCTTAATCGAGCTTCTCACCTGTCTCCGGGCACTAATTGAGCGCCGCACTTGCTGCAGGCGAAGCACTTAAGGTGGAAGACCGAACCTCCCGCCCTCATGACAAATTCACTGGCCGGTATCGTCTGTCCACATCCCGCACACGCCCCTGTGTTGCCAAACATTCTGAAAAACGGAAGCAGACAAGACATCTCGATTAATAACCACGTCAAATCCTCCACCTAATTATTAAGTCCTTATTTCCGAACCACCGTGAAGCCCACTTGGGGATTCGACGTTGGGAGACGAGCTCCCATCGACCCATACATAGAATCCAGTCGCGCGACAAACTGAATAAAAAAATTAAATCACGTGACTTTGCAACAATGAAAAAATATTTCGCGTGGATTTATTCGCGAGGGAAGGAAAAAAAAAAAATTGAACTCGAGAATCGGGTCTCGGGAGGCGCTTTCTACGTCGAAGCGAGGCCCCCCTTAAAGTGGCTTAAACGAGCTCCCCGATATAATAAGGTGTTGTAAATGCGCCTTTTAATTGGCAGCCAGGCCAGATAGGCCCTTCGTTCCTATCGAGATCCCGCGAAATCCTCGCCGTTAATCCGGCACCCAGGAGGTAACGGTAAACGTGGAATACCGGCGTCACATAATTGACATTGGTGACCCGGGTTCGACGCCGACGTCGTATGTATAAGTACGTGGACAGGTACTCGTATAGGCAATGGTTCAAGCCGCGGATGGTAAACGCGTATCGCATCCGTAGGTTTTGGTCCCGATGCCCCTGACCCAGCCAAAGGCAACGAATGTAACGAGTAATTACCCGAGGACGCGGTAATTGCTAACCCAGGTTACCGATCGCGAGGAATCTGCATACGTCCGAAAAGGCGCGGTCGGGTGAGGGGAATTATACATGCAATAGAAGTAAATACATAAAACATAGGGTCGCCGGTAATGGCGTGTAATTACCGTAATTCACCGTGATAATTGCCGGGATTTGTAATTAACGGTAATGCACCCCACCGTCCCGGGGTCTCCGGGCTAACTTGGCGAATTCTGCCGAAGCTGTTGAGCGGAACACGCGATGACTTCGGGAATTAATGGCTCGTGTTCTTGCATATGATTAGAGGCGGTTTGTAATTGCGCCCGGAGGATTGATGGAGATGATCGTCGAGTTTTTTTTAATTGGGAGGGGAAAGTGCCCGGGTGAGGAAACCTAGGCGAACGGTTTCTCCCGACACGAAGAAACGAATCCTGGGAATTCTATTTACCTCGGCTGATACGCGTGATTAGGGTCCACGAGTACTCCGACGTATGGCCGAGAAAAAATGGGATTTTGTAATTGGACTTGGATGGAAAATGTGAAAATTTTTCGGAGGACCTCCGGCCGTGCCCCCTAATTTCGGCCGCCTCGTTATCGGCTCCCAAAGTGGCCCTTATTAATTAATCGATCGACCGATCGTTGCAATGCCTCGAGACAGGCCAATTGGCAGGGAACCCGGAATTTTCTAAATGTCAGCGATGGCGTGAATAAAACATGAGGTTGATTAAAAAGGACGAGCCTTTAACGACGCAAGGAGTGGTCCCTACCCGGGACTCGTGAGAACATCGTGTCTCATTAGAATTGTCATCGATCTTCCCTAACGATCCGACAAGACAATCCAATTAATAATCCGAGGAGCTCGGGCCAATCAGCGCTTAGATGAGGACAAATGAAGACCGCGAAGAAGTCCAAGATCCGCAAAAAGTGGACGGTCTTTGACGGCACTGACCAGTGGTCGAGCAAGAGTCACTCTCACGTGTCCAATCATCGTCCATTTTGCCGTTCTACATGGGCGGTGGCAGACGTCGGGCATCACCCTAATTAGCAACTATGGGCAAACCGAAAGTAGAACGAATCCACGTCAACGTCCGCCTGCATAATTAATAATCCGCAAACAAGGCAAACTTTAATTGGGACGGAAATTTCCCTTAATTTCCCGGATTTTTCTTGCCTCCGAGACGACGTCACAGTTAACGAGGAAAAGACTTTAATTTTTTTAATTGTTAATAAATTCTAACGTATTGCCCTCGTTAATGAGCTAAGGAGGATTGCGAAACTGGGCATTGTTGTCTAGGGAGACATTTTAGTAAAAATTGCCACGATTGGGTAAAATGTCCGCAGACTGGTCGAGTAGCCTCTTTTTGCAGGTAATTGCCTGTTTACTAATCGCTGAACTATTTACGCAGTTATCAAGCTCCTTTCCGAGTGATATCGCTCGAAGGGATACTCTTGGCAAAGAACGCTTGCGAAACGCAACACACGGCTTGTCGTAAGTAAATGAGTATTACCCGAGCGCGAGTTGTGTATGAGTCATTTGAACGTGAAACTTTAATTGGACAATTACTGAACAAGCAATTAGATAAAGTCGGAGAAGTGAGGAGGCAGAAACGGGAATACGAAAATAGACAAACACCGGCATGAGAAACTATTCCAATTAGCAACTGTGCAAACTTTTTACTCGACCTTACGGTGATCTATTTCAAAATTATTGAACAATCGCGGAGCACTTTTTTTTTCCCTCCCCCTTTCTTTCCGTCTAAAAACTGCAAATTAGAGGCAGGAGGGACCGCCAACAATTGTGCAAACATCTCGGTCGAATTATCATGATTAACTCCAGGAAATCGTAACGACCGGGAACTAGACAAAGTAAACCGATGCAATTGTCGGAGCGGCAAACGTGTCGAAATTCCCTTTATTAAATAAATATTTGTAATACCCCCCCAACTCTAGGACCGTCACTTCGGACAATTTGGTTAAGGACCTCGAGGGGTTTGTCCTGCTGCCAAATGCGAATTTTGTTGTTGGCCCCGGCCCAGACGCGATTCGGTCTGCAATGTCTTTATTTCCGATGGACCGGCTTTATTAATAGTCCAGCGGGATTAAATATATTTAATAACATTCACTCGGGCTCGGCGAGGCACCGTTCTAATGCCCGACGACAATGCCGGGAACAACGCGCAACCAATCCCCGCCATTATTCCCTATCGCCGTTCAATCAGAGATGGCCTTTTGTCGATTGCAAGATCATTTAATATGGCGGCTGGTACGAGAATAGTTGTGCTCTCGCCGGGCATCGCCGGAGAGAGACGCCGCGACGCCGGGACGCTCTGGCGAGAGAGAGACGGACCGACCTCGATGGTCTACACCTTGGTGCGCCGTATAAATAAGCCGACGCTCCCACGGGAGTGCTGGCGGAATAATTCCACCGAATATAGGGCTTACAAATTCAGTTTCCCGTCCCGCCGTCGAATTTGATTTATCATTTCCTAATCGAGTGCAATTATTACCGTTTACAAGTAACGGCCGGCCCCAGGGGTGCAAGAAACCCCGCCGACACCGTCCGCAGCCAATGATCCCTCTTCGCCGGAAGTATCGTACGGAATCGCTGCGGCCCGGAGTCACCGTCTCCGCCGTCGACGGTTTTTATTAATTAAACTTTAGGCAACCCCAATTGCGTTAGTTCCCCACGATGCATTAGTCCGGGGAACGCCTCAGGGAGGCGCCATTTTGCGGGCGCAATTGGGGCTCCGCTCGCCGAGAGCGGATCCCCGTTGATTCGGGTGGATCTTGGAAAATGGACAAACAAGCAAGCGGACCAAATAATTAGGCTAATTAAAGCCGCCCAATTTGCGCTTTAGACAATTAAAGTACCGCCACGCCGGAAGGGACGGACTAACTCATTAGCGGTGCACGTGCGTGTCGGTCCTCGGGGGTGCGGGAGGCACAGGAGTGTCGGTACTTTTCCGAGGGTGTGTGCAAGTTACGACCAGGCTGGAGGGGGTTGCACCCCGTGTCCGGGGTGGCTCGTTCAAAATTTTCGCCTAAGAACGTTTCCCGGGGAAATTAACGGCGCGCTCGGCTCTTGTGTTGGGTCTTCTATAAATCCCGGATAGAAAAAGTTACGACGCGATCGTCGATTTTTAACCCGATGTCCTCGATTAAGAAAGCAAACCAGGGACCCCATCTTGGATTTCATTCCATCAACTATCGCCGGCGAAATTGACAATTTCGTACGCGACCTCGCAACAATTCCAAATTTTTCATGCAAATTTATTCGCATGCGAAAAAAAATCCATATCGCCCGCGAAATTGACAATTTGGCGTACGAGTATTAAACATTAACCAATGTCGCGACTTCGCGACAATTTTTCCTGCGTATCCATTCGTAGGGGAAGAAAAAAATCGAGCTCGATAAACGGACGGCCCGAATCGGCGTCCCCGACTTCCGGCGATTCGGCCCGACTCGGCCGGCGTACACGTAAAGCCGCGGCAAATTAAATTGAAATTGACTAGTCGGGTAATGAGGTGGCCTGACCGGCAGAGAGTGCTCGCGCGTTCCAGAAAATGAGTTCCGACTTAACAACAAATTGCCTGGGTGAGATTTTTTGTGCGACCGAAGGGGGAGAGGTGCCCGCGGGATCCGTCAGGGGGGAGGATCCCGCGGGAGGAGGGCAAAGAGAGTCGGCCCTAATAAAGCTAATCGATATAAAAAGCCGCGTTTCCAATAACCATTTAATTCAGTCAATCAAAATTCCTATTAGCTCCGCGAGTGCAATTTGGCCGGATATACCGAACCTCGCGCCCATATTAGAAGTCGGCTGAGATATTGCTCGGGCTCAGCGATGGCCTCGAACTACCGCCACGTACGAACAAGTGGAAACCTCGGAATAAAATCCGGAGCAGGCCGTCAGCGATCTCGAGAGCGTCGGTTAAACCCAATTTACCCGGGCCCCCCGCCGACATAAGGTTTACGACCTCCTCAAATCGAAGTAATTAGGTGTCAGGGACGATTAATAAGATTCCTCGGGTTTCTCGCGTTTCGTCTGGTTTCGGGCCCCACCGGGGGGGGATCGGGCAAACCGATCGGGTTCCCGATAACTACGAGCTCTCTCAATGTTATCGGGTTCTCGAACCCGAGGGCAAACTCGATCCTGGAATCTGGAACCGGACTCGACTGGCCGCTATCTGCGCATGCGCCGTTAATTTCCAATGATTCACGGCGACTGTATTAAATTCATTCAAATTGGCCCTCTCGTTTCTCCCCGAGTATGCATGAACTCGGGTCGACTCTCTTTGCGGCAACACCTGGAAATGCCCCGGTGCGCGATAACCCGCGACCCGATAATAAATAC